AGCATAAACTGCATTATTTTTTACTGTTTTCATGTAGACTTGGCTCCCCTGGTTTCTCATGTAGTCCAATGTTGGATGGGTTGTATGCCTGTAACTCTGCTAGGCCAGCTTACGGCTTATGAACATAGTTCTCGACAACGGTCTTTATTACAACAAACAAAAAGAACATAACGCTAACAAGGTACATAAACAACTCAACATGCTCATACTGGAAAACTAAAACAACTAAAGAAGCCGCAGGAGGAAGTATGCTGCTGATCACTTGGACTTGGAGAAAATGAAGTCCCACGAGACATTCACCCAGTTCAGCTGGCCCTCTTTTGTTTCCAAATCAAGAAAAGCCCAACGACGGAGCCTGTTGTTGCAAAGATTAAGGGCTTAGGCAAAGACTACATCACTCTCGTTGTAACCATCTTGCTTCAGAATCTGATTGACTTGGGCCATCTCCTCGGCGTTAGTGACTTGATGGGCCTTATGCGCCCTAGTATCCTTGATAATGTTGCTCAGGTCATCAAGGCAATCATCAAGGGTTGGAGTCCTGCTACTCTTCTTACTGCGAGGACTGTTAACGGAATAGTCCCTAGTGACTCTCTTGGAGGACTGACCAACACTATGTGGTTGTACGGGCTCGTCGGACAAGGCTTGAGGAGTCTGAGGGCTTGCACTGCTGGATGTACGGTCAGGTTGATGTCCCCCCTGCAGATACCAACTCGCCCCTGTCACGTGGGGTGCGTCCCAAAATCAAGATCAGTTGCTCACAGCAGTGTGGACGTCTGAACCTCTCACGAGCGGTTTGGCTACTTTCCTGCACGCGATCCAGGGATGGCCATGTTAGTAGTCAGTTAGTGCGAACATAAATGCTAAAAAAGAGTCAACGAAAAGGGTGTAGTTAGTACCCCGGTGCCTGCGGCATACCAACTAGGGTCAGCTGTCACCTCTCCAGTATGCGGGTCACGGCCTAGCCTAGTATGAATCTGACCGTCGCGCCAATTGAAATACACCCTTTTGAGCTCGTTGTACTTGTTATGGAGCAGTTTCTTGTTGTACTCGAGCCTTGTGGCCTCGTTAAAGGCACGATGGACATTTGTCCACCCGGTAGGGGTTGGGGTATTGTTGCCCTAGTGACATAGGTTTTTCCGCTGAGTGATTAGCTCAAGAAACAATGAGCAGGTTCTGTCATCCCAGCTAGCATGATCATGGTTCATCCGATGCAATGTTCGACATTTCGATGTATTATGTACATGGATGCTATGGAAATGGAAAACAGATGTTCCTAGCATTACGCAAAGAAGGGATTGGACGAAGGAAAAGGAAACTTGCCTTTCCAAAACGCTTGCGGGCGTTTTGAACGGAGGTTGTACTGCCTGGCTGTAGGTGGAGAGCACGACGAAGTCGACGACGCTGCCAGTGTAGGCAGCGTTGAGCACCAACGGATGAAACGTCCCTAAATTTTCTGAAGCGTAAACATAGAGCATAATGTTTAGGTTCAACAAAACATAATGCATGAACAGTAGCACGATTGTACTCTTAAAACCGTCTACCAAGTTGTGCATATGAACATTATAAATCATACAAGATTATTATTTATAAACTAGACAACAAGGACATATGAACTCAAATTTGTAGCCGCCAACAGATATACACATAGAAATAGGACGTTATCAAAATACAAATGGGGTACAAACTCAAGAAAGCAATTACAACAGCTAAGTTAAAACAAATATAATAATTAGAGAGGAGAGTAAGGCAAACTCACCACTAATGGTAGCATATTTCAAAGATAGCTCAAATCAAAGGAAACAACGCCCTTAAACATAGGGAGGACAAGAGGCCAGACTATTACAATAGGAAAGATGATTGCAAAACCAACTAGCATCGTACAATGCAGGATATTTACTATCGAGCTCTTGTGATGCATGTATACAAGACAACCCAAAGTTCTCTCGTGATCCAAGAACACAAACGCAATAAGTAGTTTACTAAATGACGCATGAATTACTAACCTTCCGCAGTCGAAATTTGAACCTTGAACACCAATTAATAGAGTCTTGTCTTGTTTGGAATTGTACAACGTACTACAACACTGATCACCAATTTAGGACTGCACCAGCTTCGTCATCCTGCACAATTCGGAGGCAACACAGGACGGAACACGTCAACAATAAGTTATGTATGATCAACAAAGTTATGTTCAACATAGATCTGAAATATAAACCTTCTCAGTGGGCGGATCGGAAACACCTGGAAGGGTTGCCGTCGACCAGGTCGTGGCGGTGATGGGGGGTGGGGCGCGGGGGAAACCTACGAGACGAGGCCGTGGGGCTCAGATCCGGTCGGGTGAGACTGCGGCGGCGTGGGATCCGAGGGGTACCTTGCTGGAGGCAGTCGGCGTCGATGGAGACGGGTTCGGGGAGGGAGGCGGAGCTCAATGTCATCGAGGCTGTCGACGGCGAGACTCGGCGTCACGGCGTAAAGAGGCGAGCGGGGACCGATCCACTGACCAACGACGGGACCTGATGACGCGACGGCCATGACCATCGAGACTCGCGCACAGAGACACGGACAAGCGGCGAGACTACAGCGGAACCCTAGCCGCGCAAAGCGAAGGGGAAAAGAGGGAGGGAGGGAGTGGCACGCAGTGCCTGGCGTCGCTTTTTGTCTAGCCGTTCGGCTGGGGCTAGGCTACCGAACGGCTGGGCTGATAAGCCCAAGCACATCCAGCCCAGCAAGCCGTTTCATGCCAACCGAACAGGGTGTTGAGTAGTCAGTACACAATTTATCATGCTTCTTGTCTACAAATGTTTTTTTTTCTTTTGAGTGTCACTATGGAGATGCTCAACTTTTATCTGTTCATATCTCAAGAAAAAATATCTTTTGCTAGGCTTACCTATGCACGCCACAAACAATTGATGCATACATGTTTTAGAGGCAAAAAAAAACTGATAGTGTCAGCTGGCTCTGCCTAGCCCGCGAGAGCCTAGCCCGCGGCAATTGTCGCTTGTCGCGGGGATCTGTCTAGTTCATATGGAGTTCCTGCAAATGAAAAATCTGACAGCAGTGCCAGCCAGGGCCCTGGGGGTTTCACTTGTTAGTAGCTTCAAGTTGGGATCCATTGCTCTCCAATCTAGTTCTATGTTATTTCCAATTGCAAAAGCCATGCCAGCAACTGCAGCGATCAAAACTGCTGTTGAACAGTTCAGGACTTGTTGCAGGGAAAAGCAGCCAAAAGAAGGCTATTGAACCAGCCAGAAACGCTACCGATGCCGCTCCTATGACAGAAAAACATAAGGCCACATAAGAAGTTGGGCATAATAACTTTACAAATCTTAATGTTTTATTTTGTTTTATCAAAAGAAAACAGGACATACATATATGTATACAAATACACACCTTTTGTTCGTGGTGACGAGAAAACAGGCAAACCCATCATATTACAGAAGACGTGAGCAATAATTGGACATAACAGATTCCCTGTAGTTTGTTTTCAAAGTCAATCAACAATGAAACCTTGTTATCAGATCCATATTAAAATTGCTTACAGTAAAATATCTATAGTCCCCATCCATCATGTCATAGAACCAAATGGAAATTAGAGTGCAAGCACAATCATCTAGCCAGGTTACAATCCATAAACTTAGTCGAATGTACCAAAATATGGTTGAAAAAACAAAGATGAAATATGGAACATGGAATCATCATTTTGCTGTCATACAGTTTTGCTTTTCGTGTTTCTGCAATATGGAATATCATACTAAAACATAACTGGTAATCATAACACGTACAGTGCAAATTTGATTATCCAAAAAACTGATCGAGCATGAAATAGCATGAACCAACAACCAAGTATGAATGATAAACATGGAGACTTCAATTCTAAAACCGGAAAAAGAGTTCCAGCAAGAATAGCAAGAAAATAATAACACAGGTGACAACATAAAGGAATGAGTGAGACCTGTTCGAATGAACAAAAATGCAGCGTACCATCCAAAGATTACAGTGTAGCCTAACTGGACACCTGAGGAGGGAAGGTAAGAAGTTAAATCAAGCTCAGAAAGTGCAGCAATTAGGTGTACACAATCGATGAAACAGAAGTAATCCATTTTTTTATGCCAATGCCTGAGAAAAATATGTGGAGAACCAAAGAAGACTAATGAGTTTGAAGATGCCAATTTTCTTACCAAGCATAGTAAAAGGTAAAAGTGTAGGTTTCTAGCTTCAGATACAATTTGTAAGAGCAATAAGTCCCAGTGCCTGAACTGGAACCATCTCACTCAAGAAGTTAATATTTGCAAAACAAGCCTAAGGTTATAGCATAGAAGAATGTAGGAATACTAAGACCATAGCTTAATGTATTCTATGTTGACTCTTCTGGAATGCAGATGCAGTACAGTGGTAGTGAATATTTGAGACCATTGTGCAACTGATTTAAAGGTAAACTTGTCACTGGAGAACAAACATATTAACCTAATATGTTATAGTTCTCCTTGATTTCAATAGAAATAAAGTTAGTTCAATAGAGGTCCGAAAGTCTGCTCTGAGTTTCTGACACCAATGCTAAGTTAATCTAGCTCAAGATTTTCCCCAAACCATTGCAGGAAGATACTAAAGGAGAAAACAAGATGTGTAAAGAAAAATACCTACAATCAGTAGCGATCTCATAAAATTGCATCCCTGCTGGTGTAGTTCGAATAAATGGTTTAAGTGTGCTGTCAACAGAAAGGTTCAGTTCTAATTAGAAGAGTACATCAATATCAACAACAGAGAACGTATAGGCAATACAATGTAGATGTGGTATGCAGCAATTTGGTTAATAAACGAATTATAAATTAGAGCAAGAAAGAGTGGAAAACTTTAGGTTCTCGTCGCCTGATCAGACCGGCCTCATCCTAAGTAGGGTCCTTGTCGCCACGCAGTGTGCGATCCAGACACGATATTGCGAGGTTCAACGCATGAAACCTGTTTACGCCTCGCGCCATGCGACGCTTGGAGGCTCATGACCTTCACTGGCAAGCAACTCCAGGATCTTTGCTATTGGCACCAACAGAATCAGGGACTGGACCATCTGCTTCAGATCCATGAGGATGGATGTCAATGGATATGACGACGTCGATATTCTTGGAGAGCTTGTCTTGCAAAATGGGATTGGAACCAGACAAAGCAAATACCAGAAGTGATGGTCGTGGATGATTGGAGGCAGGAGCATTGCGTAGGCTTTAATCGTATGACGTACTCAGGCGTGGCCATAGACCTTGAGGCCATGGCTTAGAAGCCAACAATGGCGCACACGTGACCAAGAGGCAGGGACAGCAAGAGGTAGTGGATGATGGATTCCATCTATTGCTTGAGTTCACCAATTACAATCAGCCAACTCCATCTAATTTCTAAATCAATCTGCCAAAGATAGGATCATAGGACCCGAAAGGCTGCGGAGGGCACAATGGTGAGTGACCAGCAGCCAGGGTTTGAACCCTTGACAGCGAGCACCGAGCAGGTGCCCTTCTTGCGCATGGCAAGGTGAGAGCGTAAATGGGTTCTGGTCAAGAAGCAACAACTTCTGTACTGATCTTGCTTAACAATCAAATGATAGTGTTTGGGCTATTTAAATAGCCGAATCCTAACAAACCAACAAACTTATCAAACCAAACAAACTCCTATCTTTGGGCTAACAAACTGAGAAACAATTCCCCTGAACCGACTGAAGCGATGTCGATGCTATCGCTGGTTCACCACGGTGACGCTTGGGACAACATTGATATAGAATGCGGGTCATAACAGCTAACGATCCAAACCCCGTAACAAACGAGATATCCTAACAAACCGAACTGACAACCATTACTAATCCAATGCCCCTGACTAACTGAAACTTCTGACGGGATCCGAACTTTCTTAAGAACCTAGCTACTATCTTGCCCTGCACCGTGCTCCGGAGCAGGGTCCTTTCACTCATTGCGCCACCCGTTCACAGACGTGCGCCCGTACATGAGAAGGTTAAAAAAGATACAGGCAAAGTTGGTTCCTTCAGAATAAAAAAAAATAAAATAGAACGATGCTATAGAAATTTACCTAGACTGAAGAAGACTGGACTCAGAAATATAATTGTAGACATTTTGAATCCCCCGCATAGAAGAAGAGGTATCATGCATGCCCTGAAAACCAGCTCCTCAGTAAATGGCGCCTGGTCAAAAGGTCATCACCAAACAATATCACTACAATAGAAGAGGGAATCAAAGTGTTCTCAGTAGTAGCACTAATTAATATCAGTAGCATCCTAAACAGTACTACAGATTGCAGAGTGTTCTCAGTAGCAGCGCTAATTAATATCAGTAGCATCCTAAACAGTACTACAGATTGCAAAGGCACTACAGTAATTGTTAGCTGGTAATTATGGTCAATGAGTCAACAATTCTTCATTTATTGCTAGTTTGCTACAATAACCTTCGATCACTGGTTTACAACGTGTAGTATCTTATAAGTAGAGAAAAAGGTAAAGGGGGGAAGAAGGACAGACCACTACATAGTTCCGCCAAACCATAACATCCGCAACAGCAGCTTGGATCCATTGTGCAAGCCTCTGGGCGCAGCCTATCTCCACCTCATCGCCACTGCCCCAAGAACTCTCTAGGAGCCACAATCTAGTGACGAATGACCCAGCATACACTAGGGATGTAAGGAGAAGTGGAATCGCCACGGCCTGAATCTGCAGAAGAACCAGTGTTTCAATACAAGCATGAAAAGCTCAACACTAATGAGCGAGCTACAAGATTGTAGCTTATATTTGGAAAAGATCACTTACCAAGTGATCCTTCCTAACGCCGAACACAGCAAACATATCAGCGAAGTCGCTGAGGCTCCAGACCTGAAGAGGAAGATGAGAAGATGGGGGATTTGGTATTCGTTCAGTTCAGGTTCAGGTATTGGAGAGGAAGTATGTAGTATGTACCGGAGGAGAGCACGGGCACTTACTCGGAGGAGGGACACGGTGGCAAGGGCAGAGGCGGCGGATGCGACGGCGGCGCAGGCGAAGCGACGGTGGAGGAAGGTGCGGAGCGAGGTCGGGGGCGGGAAGCGGAGGATGACCATCGGAGCATAGAGGACAGCGACGTAGGATACTGCCATGGCGGCGCACGCCGCCACCGCCACGACGCCTGATATCGCCGGCGGCGAGGCGGGATGGAGGCTCGCCGGCGTTGCCATATAATCCAGTGAAGCGGGCGTCAGTCGATGCTGCTCATTGGATCCTAGATTTCGTAGGGGGAGAGGAGGGGAGCGGGGGTGGAGCGAGGAAAAAGATGCCGGCGCCGGAGTTGGAAGGAGGAGGAGACGAGCGAAGCGACGGCGGCTGAAGTGACAAGTGAGTCGCCAGTATACCAGCGATGGGACAGGAGAATGTGCCGGGATTATTCAGGCTCAATGTTCGGATGGGCTTTGATAGTGCAAAACCTTTTAGCATGTAATTTGTGGAGGCGTCTATCAGAGATTGAGATGCATTTTATCTTGAAGAGAAAAATACTAACTGAATTGTCAACAATAATTTTTTGATGTGCAAGTACTCAATACCACTAAACATTATTCAGTAACTGATCTATTTGATGGAACTGACATTGCCTTTTCGTACCTGCGTAGCAATAGATTGTTGTAAGGGCATGGCAATTAAAAAATAAAAACAATGTAGGGACAAAGGGAAATAAGAGTAGGCTCAGAAGCAAACCAAATGGCCATGTTGTTTCAAGGGTACGACAATAAACAAATAGAAAAAAATCTAGGGAATAAGAGTAGCCTCAGAAATGAACAAAATGACATCATTTGATCTCTTGTAGCTAGGCAGAACGGCATGCACTGAGAAATAGCATCATTTGCAGCAATTCATGTTGCCGGCACATACAGAAAACAATGGATGCAGAGAGGAGTGGGGTATAGTGCCAGCCTTGACATGGAATTGCAATAGACCTAGCCTAGGGAAGTGGCATGATAGGATAAATAAACAGATAGCAATACATATATATACATGAACATGCCGTGGGCCTTTCAAGATCATCAGTCTATACTCCCAAGTTATATGGGAGTTCATTTTCATCACAAGCCATACAGCCAAAAAACATTTCCATCACTTGCACGAAGCATCAGGGGAAAAACAGTAGCTAGTCACGGACGAAGCACTCAAATCAGTAAAAAATATTGTGCAGGAATGAAATTCGTATGATAAATACGTGCATCAGATAGCAGTATGGAGCTGTGTCCCAAATTAGCATATCTATGCCATCTTAGCTGAGATTCCTGAGAAGACGAACCAGGGAAAGCACTGCAAAAAAACGAGGCACATGGCCAAATTAAAGGTGAGAGATGGAGGGACATAGAGCAGGCCTTGACAGCCGGCAGTGGAAAGGCCAGGTGCACGCCAATCCCAGCTGCTTTGTAGGGGTTGCATTGCATTGCACTAAAATAAGCACTAAAATAAATCCTCACATGTAGAGCGTTGTGGTGTGGAGCAACTAAATAAGCACTGAGCATCTTAGTAGTTCCTATAATGAACGACTATGCTGCTACTTACTACTGGTTCAAACAAGCAGGGCATGGCAAGGCGATTGGGTTCGTTTCCGCCGAGCCCCCAAATTGCCGGGAAAGCAAGCTGCCCACCCCTCGGCGTGCATAGGAAGCGAACCCGTCGATCCCAAGAAGAAAGATTCGGGCTTGATTTGCCTCAGAGCAAAGGGGAGAGGGAAGATCCCGCGGGGCAGGATCCAATCCTAGAACAACAACCCACTCCACACGCAAAGGCTAGGGCTTGCATCCTTACCAGGAACCGACGGAAGCGGCGGGAAGTCCGGTGCGGATCTCCGCCCCGCGGTGGCCCAGGAGAGCAGCGGGGCGGGCGGGCGAGGCGGCGCCTCGATTCGGCTCCTACCTTTTGCCTCTACTCGTCTGTGGAATCTGAAGCGCGGTGGGGAATGGGAGGGGCGCGGAGGCAGGGCGCGGGCGGCGACTGGGCGAGGACTCGAGGAGCTATGCTGCGGTGGCTGCGCCTGCGGCCGCTTCTCTCGCGAGTCGCGAGTGTTAGGGGGTGTTTGTCTCCTCCTCGCTGTGCCATCGGATGTTATACTAATTATGAAATTAATTACATAAGTTTATCACTAATTTACGAGATCAATCTTTTAAATCTAATTAATTCATAATTTGATAATGTGGTGCTACAGTAAACATGTGCTAAGGGCCTGTTTGATTTCCATAAGTCAGGTGACTTATTAAGTCAGGTGACTGAAAACCAATGACTTATAAATCATGCATGTTTGGTTGTAGATGATTTATAAACTCATTAAAGGTGTGGGCTCCACGCGGAAAAGGGTGACTTATAAGTTTTAAGCAGGGGTGAACCAACTTAAAACTTATAAGCATGGGTGACTTATAAGTTGGTGGTGTTTGGCAAAATAAATCACTTATTTCACTTTTTAACTTATAAGTAGGTGACTTATTTGGAACCAAACAGGCTCTAATGATGGATTAATTAGGCTTAATAAATTCGTCTAGTGGATTACTGACGGCTTCTGTAATTTATTTTTTTATTAGTATCCGAACACCCCATGCAACATCCTTATGTGACACCTCCTAAATTTTAGTTACTAGATCCTAACACCCCCTTAGCCGCGAGGGGCGCTGGGTCTTCTTGGTCCTCTCAGTCCTGTCCTGCCCGCCTGCCCTTCTTTCTCTCCCCCTTTTCTCTTTCGTCATGTTCGTTGGTTGATTTCTGGGTTGATAAACCTGGCTGGTGCTGGTTTGTTGTGAGAGAAAAACACTGTTAGCTGACTGATAAGCCCTGACTAAATCCAACGAGCGAACAGGCTGAAAGTGTGATTAATAAAACAGTGTACTGGACTTGTTCAGCAGCAAGTACTCCTTTTTTTTTCTTACAACACAGCAAGTACTCCTGTTGAAGTTGCTTCAGATTTTCTCTAGTGCAATTTAATTAAAAATGAAGTTTTCGTCACCGGGCAAGTCAGGCTCGTGATGAGTTAAAAGAGTCTGATTGGTTCCCTTGCTATGCTAGGAGGTGTATCACGAGCTCACGGCGGCTAGCCAGCTCGCATATTCTATACTAGGACTATGCGCGTAGGTAACCATGGTCTAATTGGAATCTGCTAACCATGATCTAATCGGAGTTCATTGGAATCCGCTAACCATGATATAATTGGAATGTACGTCCAACAGTGGATATGCATACTTTTTGCCGAACAAAGAGTACAAACTGGGTTTCAATATGGTTTGACGCAAACAAGCAATATCTACTTGCTCGACAACACACTTATGTAGATTTCTCTGAACTTTGGACATGGCATACTGATGGCAAATTTTGGGATACATGCCGCAACAATCGGCCAAAGGTTGGACGCCTTGCTAATGTTGCTCCGAACCAAGGGGAGAGATTTTACCTACGAATGTTGCTACACATAGTCAAAGGACCGCAATGCTTTTCTGATATTCGCACCATTGCTGGATAGCAACACCCAACATTTTGTGCAGCATGTGACGCATTGGGTTTACTTGGTGATGACCAGGAATGATTCCATGCAATGAATGATGCATCACATTGGGCATTTCCATATCAATTAAGACAGTTATTTGTCACTTTACTACTTTTCTATGAAGTCAAAGACCCACTCAAATTACTTGAAGAATATATAAAGGTAATGGGCGAGGACATGGCATGCTGTGCAAAGCAGCTAGCTCCAGAGGCCCCAGATGTTATCATACAACAACATATCAGATCCTATGCATTACAGGAGCTACAAAAACTCCTCAGCGATGCTGGATACAGCCTAGATCACTTCAGTTTACCAAAGCCAGATTAAAGTTCTTCAGAGGTACTCACAAATAGATTAATAATGGAGGAGCTTTCGTATTCTTCAAACGATGCAGCCGCTGAAGTAAACCAATTGATCACTCAACTCGATTCGGAGCAGAGGCATATCTACGATATTATAGAGCATTCAATCTCAAATGAATCAGGGTATACCTTCTTCATTTATAGATATGGTGGCACTGGTAAGACGTTTCTATGGAATACTTTGTTCAGTAGTGTTAGAAATAAGGGGAAGATAGCATTAGCAGCTGCATCTTCTGGCATAGCAGCTTTGTTACTCCCAGCTGGTCGAACACCGCACTCGCGTTTCAAAATACCTTTAGACATCCAAGAACACTCTGTATGTGCCATCAAGAAAAACACACAGTTGGCTGAGCTGATACACCGCACTTCACTAATTATATGGGATGAGGCACCTGTCAACCGTAGACATTGCTTTGAAGCACTTGACCGCATGCTTAAAGATATCATGTCATCTACCAACAACGCCTCAGCACACAAACAATTTGGTGGTATAACAGTTGTTCTTGGTGGTGATTTCAGGCAGACTCTACCAATTATTCCAAAAGCAAAAAAAACACAGATTTTAAATGCATCAATGACCCGATCTTATTTTTGGCGGAAATGTAGAGTGCTTAGCTTAACTGAAAACATGAGACTTAGATGTCTAGACCTCTTAGAATCTGAACGGTATGAACTGAAGAAATTTGTCCAGTGGCTCCTCTCAATTGGTGATGGCACAACTCACACCAACATGCCTACTGGCCAACCGGACACATCATGGGTTCAAATTCCGAACAACCTTCTGCTACCACCTGACCAAAGGAAACTTGAGAGTTTAATTTCTTTTGTGTATGGTACCTCTCTAGAAGCATCAGAGCTAGCAGATTATCTATGCGAACGAGCAATACTAGCCCCAACAAATGAGGTAGCTGCCACCATAAATGCAGAAATCATCGGTAACATTGATGATCCAACATCCAAGTATTGTACTCTAGAGGCCCTTTAACCCCAAGAGTTCCTCAACACTATTAAAATGAGTGGCCTTCCAGATCATCATCTGCAGCTCAAGATTGGTGTTCCTATAATGTTACTAATTAGAAATTTGAGTCCCTCAAAAGGTCTGTGCAACGAAACTAGACTCATAGTTACACAACTCATGCACCGTATCATCGAAGCTCAAATAATTACAGGAAAGGCCAAGGGAACTAAAGCTTACATTCCAAGAGTAATCTCCATTTCAGCTGATCCTAAATGGCCCTTTAAGATAAAACGGGGGTAGTTCCCAGTCCGGGTATCATATGTGATGACAATAAACAAAAGCCAAGGACAGACACTTAGC